TGGTTAACCAAAATCTCTATTGTAGGATCCTAACCATAAAACTGGTCAACCAAAAAAAGGAACTACAAGGGAGACTATAGGTACCTCACAACGCTCCAAAGTAGGCCAAAGAACGGTCCAATGTCGGTCGCGTAGGGTTCGGGCTTTCGGGCGAAGAACGGAGGGCCCCCTAAACCCTAAACCCTAGTTCGTGGAATCTTTCCGGATCTTTTGCCTGCTCCGCAGCCCCGTCACGGGTCAGAGCGACGTGGGTAGTCCTCTAAATTGTCTCTAGATTAGGGTCCCTTTCAGGAGCGCGTTTTACTACCCGAATTTGGCGAACTACCCACAATGTTGGTCAGCACCCCGAGCTTGGCAGTTGCTGCCTGGCGCCCGGTTGAGACTTTCAGGTGTTAGAGCAGAATGATGTCAAAGTGCATTGGGTTTTTGGGACACGGCCTTAAACCTCTAAAAGGCCGGCAGTCAATATTTGCCAACATCACGGTCTTGCCAAGACTGCGTCTTGCAAGTGATGGTGGCTGCGGAAGCACTTCCGCAGTTACCTAAATAGTGGGTTACTGGGTTGCATATTATCTGTTGAGTAGCCTGCTATTTAGGTAGCCGGAGCCCCAGGGTACGAGCACCCGGGTGTGTTTCAGGGGCTTGTAAGGCCTAGGATTGTAACGTAGAGGCTCGGAGGTTCTTTTGCCACAGTTTCCTCAGGGAAAACCTGGGAAACGATCAACACTAGCTATTCAGACCCACATATCAGGATGCTGGACTGAGTTGTGCAGGGCTGCTGCGTCTCTCGATGCAGAGTTGCAGGTCACTATGTGAACGAGGGGGATCCAGAATCCAGATGTGAAGCGTGAAGTCATCCTTCAGCCAGTGAGATGGGACAAGTGTCAGCCATTGTTCTGATTTCTTCTCCCCGACTTCGCTAGTCTGAATTAACTTCTAGGGCGAAACAAACTGGACTCTCACCCAACTCAAGTCTTTCACCTCGGCACAAGTCTGCCTGTCATCGTCTGCACCTCCCGGTAGAACGTCGGGATGTAAGCTTTGAAAGCAAAACTCCCAGGCGACCAGTCATTAGATAAAACTATAGTAGAAGCCGAAAAGTTGGAAACCCAGTAGCCTCAGTCCTTAAGAGTAATGTATAGGGAATCCCTGCACGATTTGTCCTCAATCCGGTTTCCAACTTTTTGGGGTTTATTCTAGAGAAAACCTCCCTTGCGCAGTGCAGCCCAACAGTCAACGGGCGTCTTTCGGGTCAAACGTGCGGACGTGATGCGAGCCCTGAGAAAAGCCCCAACCCTAAGCCGTAAACCTAAAACAAAGCCCCTAACGGTCTTTAGTACCTCTATAATAGAGTGTAGGGTTGCTATCATAGGAATCGTTACGTATTATGATTTGGGAAAGTATCCCCCGCATAACAGTACATAGCACCCTGTAGGAGCTGAAGAGGGCTGTCAACCGAAAACCACAAGTCTTCAAGAGCCAGCATGTCACTTGAAAATAGAAGTTGCAGTGCAGGAGCTCTTCTACTTTACATCGGGATACTTAGAGCTCCAGGTTAGTTTACATGGTCATGATTTGGATGAGGCTTTTCAATAAGCCAGGGCCTAATTATTATTAAGTGACAATTCAGAACCAACAAAAAGACTACAAACAACTAGTAAAACCCCAAACTTAAAAGGGGAAATCCCCACACACGCAAAACAACAGAATGCAACACACAACACAACATAAACACCAAGACCCCCCCCCATAGGACGATCAAACCCCCAAACGCAGTCAGGAAGCTCGAAGGAAACGGGCCTCACATGTGTCACTGACCTCCTCCTTCGGGCACAGGAACGAGATCGGCACCTGGCACGAAGTTTGTAGTAGTAGTAGTAGTAGTAGTAGTAGTAGTAGTAGTAGCAGCAGCAGCAGCAGTAGTAGTAGTACCTCAAAGCAACCCTAGGTATTCCTTCCTTGAGGGATATGGGTTCAAGGGCCCAGGGCTCTCATGGACTAGGGGTTTGGGGGTTACTTAAACTGCCAGTGACTCACGAGAAAACCTAGAACCCCAAGCCCTGACAGGGCCAAGCAAGACCCTAAACCCTAAACTAAAACCTAAACCCAAAATCCTAAACCCCAAATCCTAAACCCCAAATCCTAAACCCAAACTAAACCAAATTCCTAAACCCTAAACTAAACCCCAACTCCTCAAACGTTAGAAATAGAGCTGCTGGAGCTTCAAGCCCTGGCAAGCCAGGCAGTGATGCGGATGACCGTCAAGTGAACCTCAAAGGCGCTAGCCCTAAGGGTCAATGCACCTTATAGGTTCCTTTAAGGGTAGGGTTTAGGCTTTAGGGTTTAGGTTCCTTTAAGGGTAGGGTTTAGGCTTTAGGCTTCAGGGTTTAGGGTTTAGGGTTTAGGGTTTAGGCTTCAGGGTTTAGGGTTTAGGTTCCTTTAAGGGTAGAGTTTAGGGTTTAGGGTTTAGGGTCCTTGAAAGGTGGAGGTCAGGGTTGGAGGCTCCATGTAAGCAAATCGTATACACTTTGGCTTTAGAGTAGTGCCTATGCAGGCACTTTGGAGCCAAAGTCTATACTTGTGCGGCACATGGAGCCTTAGGCTTTGGGGGTTACGGCCTCAGGTTTGTAGGGAATTCTGATTCAGTGAACAGGCATAGACACACGTGGATACAGTGGAAGATAACCCACTTATCAGATAGATACCTGGACACTTAGGGTAATGAAGGAACCTGATTAAGAAACCTTGGACCTTTATTAGGGTTCCTTATATGAATCCGACTATTTGGGGATTATAGGCCCAGGGTTTCTTAATCAGGTTCCTACATTAACAGGTTTCTTGTATTTTCCAGGCCTTCAGATCGAGTTCCGATGTAGCCTAGCCTATATCCTCCTAAACCCTACATCCTGTTTTCTGATTGTCAAATGCTATTAATGATTCGAACACGGCTTGGGGGCTTTTGAGTACTTTATTATAGATGCAGAACGGGCCACCCTGGGAGTGCGCTTTTAAAAACTATAAAAACGGGCACTCCCACAGTGACCCGGACTCCCAGGCAAAAGACTTGAATAGGTTGGTTGCAGCTGCTGAGCTTCCACTTCTAAAAGGGTTATTTTGGGAGTTCAGTGTCGGGGGCCTTAATATTGCCAGCACTCTATAGATTAGCATCTCCATGAAGGACCCCTAAGAAATACCCTAAACTCTACACCACAAGAGTAACGGTAACTATTCAGGCCCCTCTACTACATGCATCGGGCTCTTTGGGCTGCGAGAGTCAAACGTGTGTGAGGGCTTCGGGCTCCCTGGCTGTCTGTCGTTGAAGGACCCTCAAGCTGGTTTAGGTTTGGGGTTGATAAGGTCAAGGGTTTACCCAAAGGCCCCAAAGTAGTTCCTTTTAGGGGTTCGTATATAGAACCCTATAAAGTAATCCCAAAAAGGAACTACTTTGGGGCCTATGGGTAGGCTCATAAATCTCTCAAGCAACATAAGGGATACTGAACTGATTCAAAATCAATCCAACATTGTCATCCCCTAAGGCTCCATGTACCCATATAGTACCTATAGTCTCTATTGTAGTTCCTTTTTTGGTTAACCAGTTTTATGGTTAGGATCGTATAATAGAGATTTTGGTTAACCAAAAAAAGGAACTACAATGGAGACTATAGGTAAAGGCTTAGGCCTTAAAGTACCTATATAGGGACCCCTTTGAGGCCTGAGTACCTACTATATGGGTACATGGAGCCTTTGGGATCTACTTGCCGGTAGATCCAAAGCCGACGTATAAGCTGAGCTGCTAGAGCGCTGCCGTCAACCTCGCGCCACGGGATTGGATCTGTTTGCTGGTTGGGTTAAGATTTGTGAGTTTTCGAAAATCAGGGGTACCTTATTTCGGGGTCCTTGTAATAAGGATCCACCTATTTAGGGTACTATATTAGGGTCCCCTGTTTTCGGAAACTCCCATTTTGCGGCTTTGGTCTTTAAAACTTTGGGATTCTAGGGCTTCGGTGTTGCGGGGCTATCGCCGACAGAATTGCGTCACCCGGCGCTTGTTCATCTGACAGGCACCAATGCCGTTGATGTCTCTCTTTCGGACCAATGGTTATGGTCAAGTCCGATTAAGTGAACCCAAAGAGGATATACTGTGGCCTTAACGTAGTACCTGCATGGGTACTTGGGGGTCAAAGTACATGATATTTGGGTGCATGGCCCCTTTGGGATATGTACTTTAAACGGAAACCTCAACTTGGAACAAAACCCCCTTGGGGGTGAGTTGAGTTCGTAGGGAGTTACAGTTGTCATCCTTTCCGCAACGTGATATCCGTACCCTAAACCTTAAACCCTGAGCCCTGAAACCTACTTGGAGGATCATGGGACTTAGTAAAGTATCGTTATAAGTACCTTAATTGGGGTTATAAGTACTTATTAGTATAGTTACACTAGTAACAACCTTAGTTACTAAGTCCCATGATCCTTTAAATACCTCCCAAGAGGATGGCGTCAGGTGCTCTCTGTTGCCAGCCAAGGGCCAAAAACTGTGCCTGTCATGTCCTGAAGACATCTGACAGCAAACCCCTGCACCCAAAACTCCAGGCTGATATCAAGGATAGTGAGGGCATATCTTCTACGAAAATCATACCGATACCCATAGGCTCCATAGTAGTTCCTTTTGGGATTACGTACCCTATTATAGGATTCTAAATATGAACTCCAAAAAGGAACTACCATGGAGCCTCTAGGTAGTGAGACTGGCAGAACCCATCATCGCTTGCAAGAGTTCTTAAGACCTCGCGCCGGCAGCAGGCTTTTGACTCGAAAACGCGCTGCATGTCTGGCCGCCCGGGGGGCTACGAAACACATGGTGGCTTGAAGAGCTTGTTGCAAAGCATCGCCAAGAACCACACTGATAGGAGCATCTCTGCATTCTGCCTGTTTCAACGCGGCTGTGCGGGCAAAAACTAGACAGCCTCCAATTCCGTGCCAAAGAAGGCAAACGACTTGAATCACCTCGAGCTGCGCCTCAGGATGGAATCACAAACACCGCTGATTTTACGAAACACTGGAAGCGCATGGTCTCGGAGGGATCTAGCAACGACGAGCTCATCCTGGATGTGCACATGGTCGATGTGATACCATTCTGCATCCAAGGACTCCGACTCCAAGTGCTGAACTCTGGCTTCTAACTTCCAGCGCTCAGCTTGCTCGGCTTCCAGCTTGGCTTGCAAGCACGAAGGCTGCTCAGACACAGCCGCACGCGGCTTCTCAGCAGCTGCAGAAGATGTGCTCTTCTCCTCAGCGAGCCTCAGTGCCGCTTGCCTGTACTGGAAGACGCCGCAGTGCTGCAGCTGAACATCCATGTGGCCATGTCTTGCTGCAGCCCTCTCCACTTTCTCTGCCACTTGGCTTAGGTCCCGAAAGGAGAGGCCCTCGGTGAGGCTGCCCAGTTCATCAAGCTCGCACGGTATGAGGTGCTTCGCATGTGCTCCCCACCATGCCCGCCGTTCTGGTAGACCGGGCAAGTCAATTTTCATACCTGGGTTGGCCCCTCGAAGCCTCTGAACAATATTCGTAAACAAGATCCTCTTAACCCCCAAAAGGGAAAATATAAAATGTCCCAAGGGCCTACCTAGATACAGTTGCTGCGAGATACGATCGCCGGGTCGATGTGTTCAAGAATGTTGGTGGACAAGCAGAGGTAGGCACCTAAGTAAGCGCAGCACACCATCCTGCGCAACCCTCACCGCCGAAGCCTATCCAAAGAAGCGGCACTCAAACTGAAAACCTCGAAGTTTATGATATAACCATAAAGTCCCCAATCCTATTCAGCCCTATATAAAGCCCTTGATATAGTTTAAGCACTGCCTGGGATGGCACCTTTCATCTCTTCGGTTCTCTGCCCCTGCAGTCCGTCCACCCATGTCAAGAAGTCATCGATCAGTTCTACCTTCCTTGGCTGACTTCTGAACCCCTCCTAAAATCAAACTTTTAGCCTCCTCATTCTAGTTCATATAGTAATATAGAAACCCAAAAAGTTAGAGTCTAAAGAGCCACCAGAAGAACGCCAAGCTTCGTAGTAACCGCCACCGACGCATAGTTCATCATCGGGCCTCTGTCTCGGAAGATGCCCTCACACTCATCCAAAAACACGATGGCCTTGTTGAGACTGGCGATGCTCCGCAGCACCTCGCCAAACAAGTTCCGCGCCTCCCAACTGTCGGACATGGCCTTGACATCCAGAATCCAGGGTTGCAGCTTCAAAGAAGCCGCCAACATGCGCATGGCATGAGTCTTGCCGGTTCCCGGAGGGCCATGTAGCAAGAGCATGGGACGCCCCCGGAAAATCTGCCCCGGGCGTTCGCGGCAGTGTTGGCGAAGGGCCTGCTCAAGGGCACACAGCTGCAGGGGCCATGGTACTTCCAGGGAAGCTTAGTAGACAAAGCAAGGCACTAACTGGCTATGAACAGGAGAATGACCAGTAAATGACAGTAATGACTATAGTACAAAGGCAACCATAGAAGCCCGACAAACAATCACAGACAAGTATATGTCTCGAAATGTGCATGTTGAGCTTCCTATGAAAACACGTGTCACGTCCTAAACATTAACTTACAGTACCCCGAAGGGCTAAACCTGACGTACTCGGAGCATAACTCTAAGGACACCAGCTTTCCTGGTCAGGGGCTCCTCTAACGGCGCCGCAAGGGTCCATGAGTGCTTTATGAGGATTCCGTAAGCCCCATGTACTTACACAGTACATGTGTACTGCATGAGGCCTCAAAGGGAACCCTATACGGTACTTCGGTTGATGATATAAATCTGCATTACCTTAAGGACCCTAAACTATGGGAATAATGGTATATTCCTTGTTCTGGGTAATGCAGGATTTGTATCATCAACCGTTCTAACTTTACGTTCGCAATATAACACATGGGCACATGCACACATATACGGAAAGGAAATCACAGCAGCCAGGGGGATGAAACTGCGAACAGTAAGGAGCAGGCTTTTTCCCAGTTACAGTTTGATGTTTCGTCGTTTCCTAACAGCATCCGCAAGGCAACTAACCTTGCAGATGCAGGGGACAAACCATGTGAGGGATTTATGCTGCCGAGGCTTCACCCTTCTGGAACTCATTCTAACTATGGAGGCCCCTAAACTTTAGCCCTAAACCCGTATAGAACTATATATAGAATACCCCTTCGGGGACTTCTGGGAGCTTAGGAGCTTAAATAAATTAGGGTTTAGGGCTTTAGGCTTTGTGACTTTACCGCTTAGAGTTTGGGAAATTAGGTCTTTTGGGCTGAAGCTTGGGGCATAACCCTAAACCCTAAACCCTAAACCCTTGGGACTCGAGGTTCTGAGTGTAGGTTTTGCGTAGTTACGTGGGTGGTTGTGAAAATTATGGTCCCTTTTTGGGTACCCTAAATATTAGGTGCCGTACAATAATAGGGCCCCCAAAAAGGGACCATAATTTTGACAACTACCCACGTGTAGAAGCGATCTTTGCAATTTGCAACAAACAGTGACTGCAGGTACTGGATTCTTGGCTCGTCTTGAGTGGCCGGGACGTATTTGAATGGAAAGCGGCCTATGTCAAGCGGTCCGCTTACCTGGGGCTTCCGTTGTTCAGGGTCTCTGCAATGACTCCGTGGAGTTTGCTACTTGTGCTTGGAGGTTCAGGGGCAGTTATAAGTCGGGTTATAAGTCCCCTGTCATAAGTATAGTTACCCTACTTATGACCCTACTTATACCTGCCCATGATCCTCCAAGAAGCAGAGTTTAGCTCTTTAGATGGGACTCATCCGCACATCCACCTCCAAAATTCAGAAGACCCAGGCCTGAACCCCTAAGCCTGAACCCCCCTTTTAGCCTTCAATCTCTGCTGAAACTCCGGATCCATGCACTCGGCAAGGTGCTTCAACTCGTCCTGGGAAGGTGCTGAAAACCAGGTACAGCTTAGGGTTTAAAGTTTGTTCCTGGGACCTGCCAGTGCATCTCACCTTAGACCTGCCCCACTTGGCGCTTGCACAGTTGAGGGTACGGGGCTCAAGAGCCCAGAACCAGGTAATGTGGGGGGCCTTAGTGGTTAGAACAGGGCTTTTGGGGTCCTTTATGGTATATAGTTAAAGATAACTGCATAGCGGACCCCTGAGGAATATCAATTTTGGCAATCAAAAGGGCTTTCATCCTGCGCTGACAAGAAGGACGACCTAGGCGTATGATGCAGGCACTGCCCTGACGAGCCAGAAGCAAAGTGGTGAGACTCTATGTGGGTGCTGGTTGGCCACCCTGCAACCTGATCGGTCCTTGACGTGCTCTGGCGCGAAGTAGCTGTCCCATGTAAGGTCGTTATCACTGGGCAGCTTCTTCAGCACAGAGTCCACTTCGGGTTTCTTCTGTCCGCCCATTGTCTTGCTTTGACCAGCCTTCTCCATCTGTCCGGGGGGAGGCAGGCCAGGCTTGGAAAATGTCTTGAGCTGGACACTCCGATCTCGGATGGCTACCCTCTACCAGCAGCATACGAGTATCACTTACGGCAACAGCCAGACTACAAGGGGCTTCAGCTGCATTAAGATCCCTAGAAGGTACCTATACTTACGTGTTTTCATACTTTCGCAGATGCACCTGGACACACAAGGAGACTGCAGAGAATACCATCAAGTGCGTGATCAGTGCGAATGTTGGCAGCTTCATCTTACCTTTGGTTAGTAGGGAGTGGAAGAATGGTAGTAATAGTAGTTATAAGTGTACCCCATCCCTCCGTTCCCTACTACCTAAACCCTAAACCCTATACCCTCAACCCTAAACCCCAAACCCCATTCCTCCTTTCCCTACTAACCCAAAGGAACGTCATCCGTGGGCCTCGAGCTCGTCTTCGAGGGTGCAGAAGTCATGTCGGCCACTATCCTCGAGTCGGCGTGAGGACCCTGGTTAGGGTTTAGTTTTTTTTTTTTTTTTTTAAGCTCCTTTTTCAGGGATTAGGGTTCAGGGTTTAGAGTTTAGGGTTTTAGGGTTTTAGGATTTTTTCGAGTCGGCTTGAGGACCCTGCTTGGAGGATCATAGGACTTACCTGTGAACCCGAACGCCTGGTAATTAATGGGAGGTTGTGGGAACGCTCACGATTTGGGCAAACGCCTGTTTCTTGTATTGCGGGGCAGCGTGTCTGAAAGGGCATCTCGTTGCAGGGCTGTGTCCCTGAAGCCTCATTTTGGGGCTCATGTAAGTTGCTTTGAGGTTGCCACATGTAGGCCATATGATGCCAATCGATAGACTTCAGTCGGCACGTGGAAAGGAATATCCGATGTATTTGCATATGGCGCCAAAGTTTAGCAAGTTCGGTCATTGAATCAACCTTGAAGGCTAAACTCAGGGACCTAAAAAGACGTGATCTCACAAGTAGATACAATAATCATACCCACGAATGTCCTGTTGTGCATGTGGCGTTGGCAAAGTTCGACTTCCGATGCGGTGGTGCTGGCATGCATTACGTGTACTGCATCTAGCAACTCTCCCAGTGAGACTTTTTCTCTGAAACATCTCGGCCAGGTGGGGCGATCCAGCTTCGCTGCGGCAGCAGCATCTTCCTGGCGATCAGGTGAGCCCTCCCCCTTTCGTTTGCGAGCTTGTTTGGGCTTGAAGTTGCAAGCACATTGGGGAAAGATTGGTGCTCGCAGTTGGGGTTCAAGATCCGGTATCGCTGATTCATGGCCAAGTTATCCTTCCTTGAATGCGTGAAAGCTTGGGAACAGCATCGAAGCCTCCGAAAACGTGCACGAGGGCGAAATGTTCTGCTGCTGGACATTAAGGGCAGGAAGCATGTCGTTCCCTCCCTCGAGAATACGAAACTGAATGCATCTATCATTCGTCCGATGACTCGTGAGATGGCAAAGTCAGGTAGAATCCGAAAGCCGATCAACCTCATCAAGGAAGTGGTTCGCAAATTCTATGAGAATGAAGCAAATTCAGATGATGAGAACCAGTTGACTACAGATGCCAAGTTGAGAAAAGATCGAAATATCAACAAGTCCGCGGAAATTATCAAGAGCATGCTGACCATGATCAAACGAAAATGGGCCAAATGGGAGCTACCACGTGTGCCATGGATCAGACAGTAAGCTATAGCTATGATTTTTTTCAGGCCCTGAAACAATGTCATTCCACCATGATCAGGATGAGGATATTCGTGCAATGGTTCTCGATATGGCTGAGGCTATGTCGAAAGCGTATTCAGACACTAGCATGAAGCAAGTAGCAAGTTTCTGCAGATTCTTACATATGTTCTGGCTCCATTCATTTGTGATTTCTGCCTCGATTGCTCAATCCAGGAAGGCCGCTGTGCACTAGAGAAGTCACCCAAGCAGCCAGGGTCTGGTGCTACAGACGAGGACGTCGATAGTGACGACATGGCTGATGATGAGTCCTTGAGGGCAAGCTTGCATCGCAGTGTTTCGCGAGGCGGTCAATCTTCAGCATCGTCCGATCGATTGTCGGTGCCCTCACCCCTTGAGGCTTGTTTGAAGGCACCTCCCCAGGCAGAGATGGAAAGACTCCTGGGGATTTCCCTGAACCCGGAGTCTTATGAGTGGCTCCGTCGTGGAGGACAGAAGCCGGCATCACAGCCGGTGGCGCCAGGCGCCCCGGTGGACGAGGGTGCTTTGGCACTCCCTGTGGGTGCACCTGAGGCTGCAGAGGCTGCCTTTCCGCCGATTCACAGCCAGGTTCTGGCTGATTTTGTGGACGACAGCCAGAACATAGAGGGGATCGACGCACATGAGAGTCCAAAGAAAGCTGTGCCCGACCCCTTGTCTCCTGGAAGTCCAGAGTCTTGATCAAGTTTAGCTTGTATGGGGTTGTTGCTTTGAGTTTCCTTCGGAAGCAGGGTCTGCGCAATAATGTGTTGAGGAGTTTATCTCCTACAAGCCGGCCGCTGCTCGAGTGACTCCGCCTTCAACGTCGTCTGGGCTTGCTCGTCAGCTTGCCGGAATGGACCCAGCCAAGCTTCGAGACATTTTGGCCGTTGTCAACAAGAAGTTGTTCCTTGACGATTATATTGTGCATAGACATGTATGTAGCACAAATCAAGCAGAAAACAGAAAGCTGTGTCTTGCATCACAACTTCGGCCCAGGAATCAGGCTTCTTCCAAAGACCACTTGATTCTGGACAAGGACATCAAGCGGAAGCTGAACTTCGAGGATGCCTCAGAGGCAGGCTCAACCTCAGCCGGCAGTCGAGGCCGTAGCGTGCATTGATCCATGAATTGTGATGTGTATGCCCCGTGATCGAGAGATTATGCACAACACTGAACCTGACAGGTTCAGGCTCCTCAGTTGACAACACGGAGACCCAAGCTTGGGATGTGGGGCCGGAGGATTATGTGAATTCCTGGCTCGAGTCACAGCGAGCAGAGGATGCTGCTAAGGTTCAGGCAGCGCTTGCTCGCGAGAAGGAGTTGAAAGCCCGGGCTGAGCACGAAGCTGTGGCAAGACGGCTTCAGGCTGAGCTTGAAGAATGTGAGCCAAGGCTTGGCAAGCCTGCTGCTTTTCACGATTGGCAATGCAGTGTGATTTGAACCATATGTGTTGCTTGTGTGCTAATGCCCGGTAATTCCGACACAATGCGTATTGCCATGCTTGTTGGGTTCTTTGATGTGGCATTAATCTGAGGAAGCAGAGGTGATCACTCGCACGAGGCAGCTCGCCCTGAGTGCCAACAAGAAGGAAAAACCCACTCAGCAGGAGAAGCCTGTTGATGAGAGAGATGATGAGAAGCCCGGTAAGAAGCCCGGTAAGAAGCCCAGTGAGAAGCCTGATATCTCCCCCGATGATGAGCAGGAGGAGGAGGAAGAGGAGGACCTTCAGAAATCCAGAGCCGCTGCGAAAAGCAAACCAAAGGCAAAAGCCAAGGCGACATCCAAGGCGAAAGCCAAGGCCAAAAGCACTCCAAAGCCCAAGAGTGCTGCAAAGGCCGAGCCGGCAAAGGGCAAGCCTGGGCGGCCAAAGGCCAAGGCGACCAAGGGGAAGCGCAAGGCGGGGGGTGACGAGGAGATGGATATGGATGAGGAGCCCGGTGATGATGTGGATGCGGATGCGGCCATGGAGGCTCCTCCGAACGTGAAGGGCAAGAAGGGCAAGCTCGCCCGATCGCGAAGCTTCAAGAAGTTGCGGAGGATGAAGAAGCTCAAAAGTCGTGAGACCGGCGATGATGGTGATGAACCGGACAATGCCACGGAGTACTACGAGCCGGTTGTGGCAAAGCGTGTGACAGGCAAGCGGAAGACCAGGGCCAAATCGACCGCAGAGCCGGTCGAGGAGCCGGCCGAAGACGAAGAGCCGGCCGAAGACGAGGAGCCGGCCGAAGACGACGAGCCGGCCGAAGACGAGGAGCCGGCCGAAGACGAGGAGCCGGCCGAAGGCGACGAGGAGGAGATCCCGACGTTTGCCCGTCGCTACTATCCCAAGCGCAAGTACTACCAGGCCAAGTTCCTTGCGGTTCGGGACACGTACAACGACCACATGCGTGTCTTCCTCACCAACCATTCGAAGATGGAGGCTAGCTGTACTGCCTTTGCTATATAGGGCTTTTGAACTTACATGATTTCGAGCTTCTGTTCATGAGCCTTGCATGTATATTGACGTGCTGATTCCATGCTTCTGCAGGGTGAGTGGTGGCGCTTTGTGGCTGAGACGATGGAGGAGCAGCCGGAGGATGAAGATGGCTGGCGCCCAGCAGTGCACAAGTTGGCCTATGATTTCTTGGCGGATGATGATTTCAGTTTCTTGTTTGCATTCAAAACAGCACACTGGCTTCATGGCTCATATATACATCTCGACCCCTAACATGGTTTGTCACTCTCGAGGCAAGACCTGGTCTGATGAGGGACAGAGCTTTTTCAACAGGGCAAAGCGCCCCACTCGCAAGCAGTACGAAGCAAAGCTTGCGAAGCTCTCGGCTCACTGATGTGTTTATCGAGTGAGTACATGGGTTGCTTGCAGCGGGGGGACCCTGGGGCAAAGAACCTCTCGCAGCAGCCAGCAGCCGTGTCGGGCCATTTGTTTTGCTTCGCGCCAGGAGCCGGCACCTGCATCTGTAAGAGTCCCGTGGCTATCACCTAGATAGTTTGCAAAGAACTGCAATACACAGCCACCTTTGAACCTTATAATCGTGCTATATACTGCAATTGGCTAGATGGCTTGTTACAATGATGCAGTTCCGGGTCGGCTGCCTGTGTCAAGGATCCCTTTCAAGGCTTCCAGTTCCCATGTGTGCAGGCTAGACTAGCCATCGGTGCGGCAGTGCTTGCAGCTCAAAAAGTGCCGATGTAGTGCTCTCTCTATGCAAGGTCGACATGTAACTTTCTGCTGCCGTGTGTGTCCTTGCCACAGTTCTGCTTGAGCAAGTGCTCGTCCCGATGCGCAGGTTCTTCTGGATGGCAGCTCGTCGGCGACGTCCTGACAGCTCTGATGGTGAAGAAACTCTTGCGTCGGAATCAGGCACGGGAGGTCTTAAGCTGCATGAAAACTATAGACTGTAGACTGATTCGCCTCACACTCTTCAGATTCAGGACGGTTTCTGAACATACATGGATCAAGTGCTTTAATTGCTGTGATCGATGCACATTTTCAGAAGCTGCGTGTGAATTCTGTATGATCGAAGCAGGATTGCAAATGTTTCTTTGCAGCGTTTCTTTTTAGTGCATACTTTCACCCCAAGCCTTTGGGCCCTTGTCTGTGGCCATGGACCTGTTCCGACTTGTGGACAACCTCATGAGGCTGCAAGCTCCAAAGGCCAGTGGGAGATCCATGGGGTTAAGGAACAAGCTTTTCGGACTTCGATCAATCATGTTGTTCCTGGCCGACCCCCCGCAACATCATGACCCAACCGATGCCATATCTGAATTAATGCAGGAAGTGATGCTCTTCACACATGCATTCTGCAGTGCGGACATGTTCCCTAAAAGCATGTAATGATCGAGTGGTATGCATTTGCAAAACAAACTCGAATATGAATCTCATGCAGGCTTTCATCCTCGTGGTGCTTTGCCTCCTCTTCAATGAAAACTTCACGAAGGCCTCTGACAAGGAGGGGTGCACAGCTGTTCGGAAGCATGTTTCTCAGGCGAGTGAATCGACATTATCCGTGGCTTGCAAAGCATAGCTGGGTAATCTTGATCGATCTAGATGATGATACAAGCCCGATAAACCTTAGAAGCTCCAAACCTTTATGTAAAAGCTCAACACCTTGATGCAGGACTTCTTCTTCTTGGAGCACTATGCTGGGGAGGCGGTGATGTCTCAGGAGATTCAGGCAGCACATGGACGTGATACTGCTAAGCTCGACATCAAGTACCACCATTCCATGGACATTTGCACTCCGCCGGGGTTCGCGATCGGATCTTAGACAAAGTCATGCAATGCAAGCACTGCAACGATGTTTGTACCATGCAGACTATCTAGTTGGAGCTGAGGTTGCACCTGCTTTCAGTTCTGAAAGGGCGATCTTCAGGATTCACTTTGTGGCAAGGGCTACAGTGCAGCAGCTGGGTATCGATATGCAAGGCGACGAGCATGAGATGTTTCCTGAACCCTTGCGGGTATGAAGAGCTACCCTTCGTAGCCATGGGCAATGCTCAACTTTGCAGGACAATGTGTTCCCCTAAATTTGTTTATTGTTTTGCTATTTCTGCTCGTGTTGCAAATGATAAACCGATCACGCATGATCACAGTACAGCTAGACCGCCCCCCAGAAGCCAAAGTACAACCCTCAAGTTGTCACGGGCCTGAAAAGATCCGTAGTGCCACACCTGGGAGGACTATTCTTGTCTCGCTTCTTTGCGTGGCTTTGGGGGCCAACTGGATGATCGAGCAGCCGGGCTCCTCGTTAGTCTGGCGACACCCTCGTTTTCAATGGTTTTGCAGAACACACCAGGCCAGGTAGAATCTTCACAAACAATACAAGACCTCGATCGATCGATGTGTTGTATATAGATAATATAACGTTCTAGGCACAGCCCAAAACACCCTTCGTTTCAAGCCCTATGGTTTTGCCTGCCCCAGGTGTACGTTTCCCGTTTCTGGATGATGCACTGGGGGCATTCCTGCCCGAAACGGACAGTGGTTTGGAGCAGCAGCCCCAAGGTACTTAAATTCAACAGGGGGACGCTATGCACTGCCGATAAGCAAGCAGCGAGGGCTCGTCATGGTGATGTTCAACCAGTGACCCGCAAGATCACCAAACAAGGTCGGAAGTCCTACACAGGAAACCATCAATTGAAGGGCACCCAGACACAGCCTTAGCTGCTTCAATACAGTCCTACTCTGAAGTACAGAACACCTACATATAGATCCTCCACAGCTTAGCCCTTCCTTCTCCAAGGACCTACACGCCAGCATTCAGCCGAGAGATGGCCAAGTTGCTGCCGCTCGTCATGAAGTCCCCGCCACTGCGCCCCACGGCGATGCTGGATGCCTCCACGGTAGAGAAGCTTCGCTGCTTGGACATGGGTGAGGATGATTGGGCTGATGCGGGCCTTTGGGATCTGGTTCGTTATGTCTATGGAGCCAAAGGCTTGCGTATCCCCGAGCAATGGAAGGTATGTTTCCCTAGCAGCCTCTTTGGCTAAGTTGAGACACGGGTCTGGTGCGCATGTGTAGTGTAGTCTATAAATTTATATCAGGCATGCATGCATGCGTATACGTGCGTTGTACATACATGCGTGCAGGGATGTGTTGTTGCACATGCACATATGCTAGCTGCATGGCCATGCAGGTGTGTGTCTGCATGTGTGTATGTAATTCGAGCACTGTCGGCGCACTACCTGTGTTCGTAGGCACATGTGTCACGGCAATTAAGTCGGGCATGCATGCACATGGTGCAAGGTTTCGACGGCCACGTGCATATATGATCGCGAGTCATACGCAATTCTGACATTAAGCTGCTTCTAGGACAGAAGCTTGTGGCCAAGAAGCCCTGCAAGCCCTCAGAAAATTCGTCTGTGCTGTAGCCTCGATAGATCGATCGAACTATGGAGCTGGTCTTGGTTCCTGCAGTTTCAGTTCTCAGCCCTGGTAGGCCCTGCCAAAGCCCTTTGCCCCATAACCAATACCCCGCGCAACCTTGAGCCCCACAAGCCCGAAACCCGCAACCCTTGAGCCCCGCAAGCCCAAAATCCGCAACCCTTGAGCCCCACAAGCCCGAATCCCGCAACCCTTGAGCCCCGCAAGCCCAAAACCCGGAACCCTTTTGCTGCAAGCCCGAAACCTGCAACCGGCCCTTCAGCCCCGCAAGCCCAAAACCCGCAACCTTTGAGTCGCGCAAGCCTGAAACCCGAAAGCCTCAGTCCAATCTAGCATGCATGCATGCATGCATGCAGTGACAGGATCGATCTATATAGGAGTGCACGCTTCACTAAAACTGCTGCTGGCTTCATGAATGCATGATCTTTCCAGCACAGTGCTGTACGTGGACTTGTTCCAACTCCAGATGAACACAAGCGTGAATTGCGTACGCAGTGGTCCTAATTTGCTAGCTAGCAAGGTTCTCGCTTGGCTGTACCCTCGGGGTCTCGATCTTTGTAAGGTAGGCATGCATGCATGCATGTGTGCCACGTGACTGGGCCTGCGTGTTTCTTTTGCTGGCTTAATTCTATAGTCGAGCTTAATGTAAATTTCCAGCTAGTGGCACATGAGTGTGTTCATATCGATCAAAGACGAAATCGTGCCCTTTACAGCTCAACTGAATCATGCATGAATGATGCAGTGAAGGCTCCTGATTGCTCCATCCAGATGTGCCTAGATGGGTCGAGTTTTAGGGTACGTTAGCTATAGAGCTAGCTGATCTTACTTGGTTCTGGGCTTCAGGGTCTTGTGTACGTAGACAACTCCAATTTAGAGCTGCAGGTTCTGCGTAGCTAACCTCCCCTGTGTGATGAAGCGGTTGCGGGCTTTACAGTTGGCTATAGCTATAGGATCTCGATCGAGCTAAAGGGTCGGGTTCTCGGTTTGGCCATTCTAGCATGCTCTGGGCTTTCGGTTCCGGGTTGCAATAGATAGGCCGGATAGTGCGTGTGTGTTATTAGGTGGAGGGCTTTCAGGGTTGAGATTTGTATAGGCCAGGATTACGGGAGCATTGTTGGAGCTGGGCTGTATAGGGCTAGTCTAGTGTTGTGGTCAAGGGATCGATTGATCGAAGATCATATCATGCATGAGTTTGATCGATCGATCACAATTATATAAGATTGCGGGCTTCAGTGTTGCATGTTTGTGGGCTTCAGGGTTGTGTGCTTCGGCTAGCCTAATATTTGCTGCAATGCCTCATGCTTGTGTGTTTCAGGGTTGCGGGCTTCCGGGTTGCGGGCTTCCGGTTTGCGTGCTTTCGGGTTGCGTGCTTCCGGTTTGCGTGCTTCCGGGTTGCGTTCTTCCGGGTTGTGTGTGGACATGCATGCAGGCCAGGTTGCGGGCTTCAGGGTTGTGGGCTTCAGGGTTGCGGGCTTCAGGGTTGCGGGCTTCGTGGTTCCTGGCTTCAGGGTTGTGGGCTTCAGGGTTTAGGCTTCAGGGTTGGGGGCTTTGGTTGTGAGCTTCAGGGTTGCGGGCTTCAGGGTTGCGGGCTTCAGGGTTGCGGGCTTCAGGGTTGCGGGCTTCAGGGTTGTGTGTTTCAGGGTTGCGGGTTTCAGGTCGGAGTTGCGTGCTTCAGGGTTTTGTGTTTCAGGGTTGCGTGCTTGAGACCTGTGGGGTTCAAGGTTGTGGGCTTCAGGGTTGTGGGCTTCAGGGTTGCGGGCTTCAGGGTTGCGGGTTTCAGGGTTGCGTGTCTCAGGCTTGTGTGCGCCTCGAGGCCGAAGTCTTTTTCTGCAGCTAGCATGCTTGCCGGGTGTGCAGGGTTTCAGGCTTCAGATCCCGGCCGGATTGTGCTCTTGTGTGAGCTCAAAGGCTGCGTGTTTCAGGTTTCAGGGCTGCGGGTTGCAAATATGCTGCTGCGGGCTTTGGGGTTGCAGGGTTATTTGCTCGTGGAGCTTGAATGTGCGGCCTGTGGGCTTCAGCGGCTCAGACCTGAACCGAGTTTGCGTGCTTTGTGGCCAATTCACGCGACTATGTCGGATCTATGCAAATTCGTGATTTCCAAACAACCACTTCTGCCCACGCAACACTCACTTTTGCCCACGCCACACTCACTTTTGCCCACGCAACGCCTGGTTCTGATTTTGGACACATTTTGATAAGATTTTGCGCCACTTTGCGTGCGCAAAACACGTGCTCTCCTGAAGCACAAGGGTGTAAGCTGGAACTGTTTCGAGTGCAGCCATGGCCTTGAGCAGGGATGTTCATTCAGCAGACACTTTGAAGTCTGGACTTGGTCAGTTGCTGCGGTCGGCTTCGGGCGGTGATCTGGACACCTTGAAGCTTGTGGCAAAGGAGTCGCATAGACTATACGTTTCAAAGCCGGTTTCCTGTCTGGTGCGTGTGTGCATGTCCATCTATTTCGATCGAATCATACAATATTGCAATAGGAGCTTGAGTCCGCCATCAGCATCGCAACCGCGGATGTCAAGACCGAGCCCGGCACAGAGAGTCAGCTCGCAAAGATGCAGTTGGCGCCAGTGCCTGGGCTTGGAGTATGATTGCATGGCCTAGTGCTGAAATAGGCACACAGCTTCATGGCTCCATCGATCCTTTCCATGTTGTGCATGTGCAGTGTGCATGCATACCATGCATGCCAATTTGATGTGTCCTGCTACAGATTTTATATGAACTGCATGCATTTAGGTCAAGAAGGAACCTGGTGTCGAGCCCCCCGTGCCCACGCCTTCTTCGTTGCCAGCACCAGCAACGCCAGCCTCCAGCGCAGTTCCCAGCACGCCGCAGCCGCCGGCATCCGATCCTCTGCATCAGGACAGAGGGAGGTCGAGATCTGCATTATTGTATGCATGCATGCATACATCGATCCTCAATTTGGGCAGTGATTCTGTGCTAATCTGGATCGACTAGCTGACATGCATATATAGATCGAACACTGCAGATGTACTGAACAGGAGCTCTTGCAGAAGTTCAGCCTACTCCAAGCCGCAATGCTCATGCAGCAGACTGAGCTCCAGAAGCTCCGTGACCGTGAGAGCCAGAACCAGGACTCCCAGACGCAATTTACGTATAGTAGCTGCCAGGCTGTCGATGGCTGTTTTGCATGATCTTATGCACGAATGCATGCTGTCGATCCATCCCATACAATGCACATTATTTGCAAGTGAGCCCCGGCCCTGTGCCAATCGCACAAGGATGGGCAGAATGCGCAGCCACGGCAGGAGCCGACCCAGGAAGCTGTGGAGAAGCAGCAGCAGAAGGAATCACCTTCAGCTGCTGTTGTGCGGATGGATCAAAGTCCCAGGGGCTCCAAACGATCGCATCCTATGACCCCTGTCAAGAACCCCAAGCCCCCGAGTGCCCCGAGCCAGGCGCCTGATGAGGACTCTGAAATCCCCAGAGTTCTGAAATCCGAAGCCCTCGATAAGCTCGAGAAGGAGAAACTCCGCAGGGTGGTTTCCCCGAAGAAAGGCTCGGGGACTTTGGAGGTCCCTGAGGACATCTTCGAGATGTGGAAGGACGCTGCCAAAGGACGTCAGACCCTCTTCAGAATGTGGGCAAAGTCCGGCGGGGTGAAGGTGGGAGGGCTTTCAGTGCTAAATAATGCACATGTGCATTACATCTATTTACGATCATGCATAGTGTTCTTTCCAAACTAGATGATGCTGTGGCCGCGCTCCTCGTAAGTTTAGCTCATCAGTCATGCATGCATATATCATGCACACACAATTCTGTGTGTTACACATGAACATTGGGCGGCCTCAATTGTATGCATACTACAGCTAGAATGACCAACCCAACAGGCTGTGTTCCTCGACACCATCACGATCTTCTCGAGAACTACACGGAGCAAGAAGCTTGAGGTCAAAGGTGGCTTTTACTCCAAAGAAGATATGAAATCTGAACTTGGATATTCAACGCTTCCTAGCTGCACAGACTCTTCCTGTCAAATGCCTTTGTAATCAATTTAAAGCACTGATGAATGCATGGATATACAGCTGCTTTCCCAGCTAAGCAACCGTGCGAAGTGTATCCCAGGTCCAGAATCGAGAAGATAGTTGCCTGGGCTGAGAAGAACAATCTCGTTCGGCAGCTCGGTGGCATTCGCTCGCGGTTTGTGTCTGGCTCGTTTCATCTTTCTCTGGCCCTCTCCCTCTCTCTCTCTCTCTCTCTCTCTCTCTCTCTCTCTCTCTCTCTCTCTCTCTCTCTCTCTCTCTCTCTCTCTCTCTCTCTCTCTCTCTCTCTCTCTCTCTCTCTTTCCCTCACTCTGTGGTTCTTCAGGGTTGCTTCTTGGCGATCAATTTAGGTGACCTAGCTGGTCCGTCTTTTTGGTGGTATTTGCTTCTCTCTCTCTCTCTCTCTCTCTCTCTGTCTCCCTCTCTCTCTCTCTCTCTCTCTCGCTCTATCTTTCTCTCTCACTCTCTCACTTGCACTTCTTGCTTCTTCTCGACCCTTGTCGCATGTGCACCAATCATAACAGCTCCCATCCTCAAAATCATATGTGTAATTTCAGAACCAGTCTGCCCTCCCCAAAAGCAAACCCAGGACATGTGAATACGATGATGAGACGCTGGAGTACTGGGTGAACACAAGGACGCTGGGCACCATGACGAAGGAGGACCTGGAGATGATGCAGCGGGAGAGAAAGTATGAAGGTGAAGGCGGTGATGACCTGCTTTTCAAGCCGGAGGTTCATCTTGATGGGTTTGATTTCAGTGATGATGACCGGATGATCCACAAGGGCACTAAGAATCTTGAGGGAGATCACCACAAGAGTGCCTCTCGGATGCTTTCCATGGAGACGCGGTGCCTCATGCAGACCTGGGGTGTTTGTTGCAACATTGTGCCCTGATGTTGCGCAGCCGGTGAAATCTCAGGTTGCATCGCAAATGAAGGAGTACTTGAAGCAAGTGCTCAAGAGTAAGAACTCACTTGAAAACTTCGTCGACAAGATTAAGGCCGCGGTTTCTGGTGATGCAAAGGCTGCAGGGCACATTGGCTTCAAATAGATAGATCGATCGATGCACATGCACGTGTGCGTGTGTCTGTGTGTGTGTGCAACTATGACCAATCTTTTCAAGTGCCACATGTGTTGGTCTGAGGGCCCTCGGCAAGATGACTGGCCTTATCAAGGACTTCGACACGCTGTATGAAGAAATGTCGGAGGCCAGGGCTGAAGGTAACACATCAGGCTACACCCAAAAGTTGCCGGGCTGCAGTCTGACAATATGCATATAGATGGAATTTGCTTATCATTGCTCTCGAATCCTTCTACTCGTGAGCTTCTGGCACTCAGGCTGCAGGATGAATGCAAGGCGTTCTTTACCAAAGCTCAAAAGCTGAAACCCGGCCAAAGCCCATTGCACGTGCCATGTACAATCCCGATGTCGATTGACCACTGCAATACCCGGTCTGAGCTCGGAGCACGGTAATCCAAGGATGTCGAAGGCGACTTCCTTGGAAGCCGCTAACAAGTCTGGCTCCCGGATCCTACAGGGGTTGCTGCTCGGGATCACTATTCCGTTGTCGTTCTTCCACCGTACGATGTTGCTAATTGGTCTTCTGCTTAAGCTATTGGACTTCTGGAAGTTTCGAGGCCCAAGATTATTACGACACAATGCCATATTGGGTTGCGTGCAAATATGCCGGTTACGTCCCTTAGGGCTTCCAGGCTAGACATTCGATGGGCTCGATCCCTGCATATAACCTATCTCTAGGATGCCACCGGCCTTTATACCCATACACCCAAGTCTCAAGTTCCCTATAGGCAGTGAACCCATTGTTTATACAAATATTTATTCCTGGTCGCAAAACCATGGCAAATGCAAACCAGCAACCGCCCATGCTTTGGGCTTTTTTGAACATAGGTGCCTATAAGCAGTCGATCGACCTTAATCCAAGGCTAAACCAGCTAGATCAGAGTAGACCCATTCTGGACTCCTATAAAGATCCCTGAACCTGGGCCTACGTGTCCTGGAAGCATTCTAGTGAAATCCTTGAAGCTCTTCTGGGAAAGGGGCTACAGTACCGGGATGATGGGGATACGGGGTTTTAGAGTGTGATTATATAATATTCTAAAATCTATGTAGAGCTATAGTATAGTGTAGTGGGAGCTTGGTGTTTGAGGTTAATGTCGTGTTTGGTCCACATGCCACCTCCTCTGAATCCCCTCACCTGACCCTGCCGAAGTAACTTCACACAACAACACCAACCAAGGAAGACCCTAAACCAAGGCCCCTGAACTCCTGAATGTCTCGATCCTGTCAGAAGCCATCCACGATGCTTGAGGAACGTGATCGGGCAAGAATCATGCAATTACTTTAGTGGGTGCTAATCTTCCAGATCGACCATTATATTATGAAGGCTTTTGCTGCCGTTTCATCTATAGTATTGATGTATAGCCAGCTTGTATATATCCTTGGGTTACATAAGAAATGGTACAGTGGGGTAATGAAAACCTATGATGGCCCGATGTCCATGATTGATGTGCATAGGCTAGGTTCCCCCAGTACACTAAATCTTGATTGTTCCTGAGCTACGAACACGCACAGTTCGCCGTACCTTGGATCCTAGCTGATCGATCCTATAGACAAGCTTGTGCAATACGGATGATACTCGGTTGTACCTGTGCTTTTGTCTGGTGTGAGCAGCTCACAACAATCACCGAAGCCAACAACCTGGAAAGCTTAAGCCATATTGTACCTTTATAGGGGGTGCATGGTTCTATAGACAACCCGTCGTGCCATGAGCCAAAAGAATTATATAACCATATAAGTAACCCTGGAAGCCCTTTTAGCTAGGCGGTAGCCCCAATGTAAAGACAAGCCGACCCGTGTCGCAAAGGCAGATTCTGACGAGGGCACGCAAGGCCGCGAAGACATCAAACGAATGAGCTCAATCTCGGCGCCGAGATTGGATGGGTCTGATCTAGATTTAGCTGCTTCGATGCTACAGTAGCAGAGGAGCGAGGATGCTTTAGACGTCCATTACATTTTCATGCAGATTTGATTTTGCCATCGACACATCGTGCCTCTGTCGCTTTAGTGCTGCTATTCAGAAATTTACCTTTTTAGCTCTTATGTAGATCCATCATCACATGTCATTCCATTATGCTTCTGCATGGGTGTGATGTGTGTCGGCTGGGATGCACAGGTTCAGTGGAAGCCCAGGGCTCTACTGACAAATTCTGTTTCACACCTGAGTGTGTGAATTGGGTTGGGCGGCCTCAACAAGCAATGTAGGCCATCGTGCTGTTAATTAATTGTACTGGGTACGCAGTATATGACAGCTGTCCAATAACATCGAACGGTCTGGATGTTGAGGCTAGCTAGCTAGTTTACGGTGCTCACGATCCAAGCGCCCTCAGAAGTGTGCTTGGTGGGCAAGTTCCATGCAGAACCAGGGGACGACCAAAGCAGCCTAATGTGGGAAAGTCTCTGCTGGAGGGCAGTGCCTGCAGCTCATATGTAGTACATCACCCAACTATAGATATCTTAATTTAAGACCATTGGGTAAAGTGTTTGGAAACCAGTATCGGAGTGGAACCTCCTGGTCTGGTTCAGCTATGTACTGCATGCGAGTCTGAGACATCGGAAAGCTAAATACTGTGTTGCTGAGCCATCCCTTAGCCCATGCCCTAGGAAGTATATTGATTCATTAAGTATACTACTTCGCCAAATCAGTTTGTATAAGATGTTTATCGATATCTGGTTAAGACCTCGCCCCAAGCTCTGCCGAAGATATCTCTATAATTATAACATTAAGACAATCGTGTGATCGATGTAGATAAGCTAGCTCCCTCGAAATTTGTCTAGGAAGTTTCCCATAATGTGTCGGCTGGTGCTGTACTTAAATGAACTACCCTGGTAATCCTGCTATGAATAAACCTCCTACCTGTCAGGCAGCTATGTCCCGGCCGGCATCAGTGAGCAGGTGCATCTCATTGCGGTGAAATATGGCAAGGGCGCCGGGGCCCCAACTCATCGAAGCCGGCATGCCCTGGATGATTCCTGTGTGCAGGCACAGAAATTTGCAGATCCATAAGCAGAATCAACAAACGTTTTGATGAATCTGCTCCTGGACTTTGCAGCGCATTTGCAGTGCACAGGGTAGCCCTCTAGAGTACTGCATGTGTGTGTCTGTGCTAGTCAGATGGCATGTATAGACCCTGTCACAAAGATGGATATCTTTCCATGGACTGATTCTGAAGACGATATGACTGTGCAGAATCACAGTGACAACGATATGGATGTCTCTGGTGCTTCATGGGCTTCTGCAAGCACAAGGGAGCCTCCTTCGCCAAACTCCCCCGATTCGAGCTTTCACCTTGATGAGAGAATAATCGCGGAAACTTCACTGGCTTCGAAAGTTCTACTACACTGCTTGCGGGTGGTCGATGCTGTCAGAACAGAAAACGGTGGTGCTTCGTTGTGCGTCTTCAAGATTGGCCTTACTTCCAACCCGGTTCAGCGCAGAGCTAGCTACCTCCAGCAGAACTTTCAGAACTTCGTCGTGATACACAAAGTTTGGCGACCCGAACTGCTCGGCATGCTAGAGATGTTGGAAGCTGCTCTGATTGCACAGTTTCACGACAATGGGCGGTGTTGCCGAAACGTTCGGCTGGGTGGGGAGAGTATGCGCACTAAAGATTTTGTGCCAAGGTTCCCGCCACCTTACTATGCATACTGTGCAGCTACAAATGCTGCGCAATGCAAGCCCATCCTAGGATGATGTGCTCTGGTTTTGTGGCACATGTGGCTTATGTGTGCTTTCACACAGATGAGCTTCGAAGCTGCAAGTGCGATGCAAAAGTGCATTTTCTTCGGCACGTCTGCAAATAGCAATGACACGGATCCTGCATGAGTTCTTTGATTAACAGTCTACAGCCTGCTGTGCCGAGGTCGCAGCAAAGGATCTGGTCATCGATGCCCAGGCAGCAGTGAAGCGAGATCCTTGCGAAGTGTTGGCCAAGATTGCAAAGGTGCCACCAAGCAATGCCGATGCACCGCTGTTTGAAATTCTACGCAAGAATGGATTGACTTTGCCTATTGACTTTAGCTGGAGCAAAGCTGGGAAAGTTTTCAGGTATCCTTTTCTGAGCCCCAGGGCCCAGCTTGAAGCTTTGAGTGATGCGGGCTACTTCCATCGGGTTTTGGGTCTGCCGGTTCACTTGGCAAGTGAGGGTCTTGATCTATTTTGGAACAAGTTTCGAGTCCTGCACCCCCGGCACAGCTTGTTCGAGAATGCCAACAATATTGATTTTCAGAGGCTCATCCCTTACTACCTGCATGGGGATGGGGGCCGTGGCTTCAAGAAGGAGGCTATCGAGATATTATCCATGTTTCCAGCTCTGGGGACAGGGTCGAGGAAGCATTCTGTAGACCTCAGTTCAAAAAGGCCTGTGGAGAACGAAATCGAGCTGGGCATCAATCTGCAAGGCAGCTCGGGGGCTACCAGGTTCCTGTTTACAGTTCTAAGCAGCTTAGTGGCCAAAACTGACAACACTATCTTTGATGATATCCTTGAACTATGGAGTCAGCAACTGCAGCGGCTCCTAGATGATGGTTTTCAGGTGGGCGGGAGCACGTGGCGCATCGCGATTTTGGGCTTTACTGGAGATTCTCCTTTCGTCAAAAAGGTTGCGAAGACCACCCGCTCGTTCCACAATGTGCGAAAGCGGCACACTGCAAAGAAAAAGCAAACAGGCTGCTGTTGGCTTTGTCATGCAGGTTACGACGACCCGGAGCAAGGAATCTTTTATCCCTTTGAACATCTGGGTTTCAGTGAGCCGCTCTGGCTGCAAACCTGCAAGCTGAACAACCCCTTACCATGGGAGGGGTCAGGCTCTCCACTTGTGCGGCGAATGCCGCTGGACAAGGATGACACGCCCGCTGCATTTTACACGGCGGACTTCTTCCATGTGTGGCATGCTGGGGTCGGTTTGGACTTCTGTTCATCCGCAATGGTGTATTGCTTTCGACTGTTTGAAATGTCCTCGGTGGAAAAAAACATATCGGAGCTGAACGCATCATTGCAGGTTTTTCTGAAGAAGTCAAAGCAAAAATTGGCGTGTGGTCGCGTGACCGAGGACCTCCTGGGCTATAGTTCCACGCGAGAATATCCTGAAGGCAAGTGGTCAAAGAATATGGACACAGCCGTTTTCACCAAATTCGTGATTTGGTTGGTGGAACGTCCAGAGTTTGCGGCCAAACTTGCAGCAGATGACATTCTCAAAATGATCCTCGCGACTGCCAAGGCGATCGGTGTGGTCATCAGCACGGCTCTGAGGGCGGAGTACTACATGGCGAGTGCGGACTGCCAGGAAGTGATAAGGAATGGGCATGCAGTGCTGACTGGCTATGGGCAGCTCGTTGTCACGTGCTACAGTGGACGTCTGTGCTTATTCAAGCTTCGACCCAAGGTTCACTACTTGAATCACATATTCCTCCGGGTTTGGGAAGAATGGCGTGCTGCTGGATTTGCGGTAAACCCGCTTGCGGAAGCCACGTTCATGTCGGAGGACTTCGTGGGAAGGACGGCTCGCTTATCCAGGCGTGTCTCAACAAGAGCCGTGGCAATCAAAACACTTCAAAGGTACTTGCTCTTCATGCAGACTGCCCTAAGCAAGGATAGTTTTGCAATGCTGGATTTGTCAATGCTGGACTGATCGAGCTACTCTGCCGCAAGTTGTCTCGATTTTTAGTGTGATTATGGAATTAATTTGTCGGGTCATCAGGAACCTGATTTCCACCACGATATCTTTGCAGGTCCATCCCAGAAATTCCAAAAGCACTGCAAATCTTGCGGAAACTATCTAATGCCTCTGAAGCTTACAAAGCTGTTGCCCAGGTTCGGTCCTGGAGTCGCAGACAGCGCAGAGCTCGTGCGGCCGCAGCACAAAAGCCATAATCGCATGGAGCTTTTGATCACTTAGAGTAATATTTCGGGGGTAGACTTCCGGAACTGAACAATTCCAAGATGATTCTCTGTCAATCGTTATCCCTACTCACAGTGCTTATCTTGATTTATGCCGGCATTTCTTGCTGAGGTCATCACAATGCATATCGGCCCCCGGTGCCCTGAAACCACGAAGTCTGAAACCCTGAGCCTCCAAAAATAGATGTTTGGCCAAACGCTCACTTTTGGACCCAACGCTCACTTCTTGAGCAGGAAGTGAGTGCGCCTGTTTATAAACGGAGGTTGCCCTTCCCAGGTAGTAACTTAGGTTTAGGGTTCCTTTTAATAAGGGTTCTATAATGGGGTTCTTCGAAGGAATCTATAGGGATTCTATAATGGGAATCATGGGACTTAGTTGAGGGTTTTAGGGGTTTGAGGGTATTTAAGGTTTAGAGTTTAGGGTTTAGGGTTTAGTGGGACTTAGATTAGTAAGTAAGTTTATAAGTACCTTAATTGGGGTTATGAGTAGTTAAAAGTATAGTTACCCTAATAATAGCCTTAGTTACTAGGTCCCATGATCCTTTTAGTGGTGGATCCCTGAGCCCCCCAAACTCCCTCCCCCACCAAACAACCCAACGCTTCAAATCTTGGCTACGACGCGGTTTCGATGTTTAGCAAGGCTTCCTATCCATGAAGCTGACGAGAGTCCAGATGGCATGGTTCTTTCTGGCTCAACTAACTGAGCAACTTTACCCTGAGCCACCAGCTGTGAACCCAAAACGCAGAAACCAGGAAATAAACTACTACCTGTAGGGGTCCTGCAAACTGTATCACAACAGGTCTTCGGAATACTCATAGTCAGAGCCCTCTAGTAAGCCCTCAACCTCGAAATCCCTCAAAACAAACCAAGACAACGATCCGGCCAGGCTAAGTGCCACCATGTCAGTATAGACACTGTCTTTCATGCCTCCATTCCATACAGCTGCACATGTACAACTGCAGACTATAGCTAGTCTAGATGCGGGCAAAGCCAAGAACACAGGCGAAAGCCTGAGCGCAGAACCTTGAAACCTTAACAACCCCTAAACCCCAAAACCCTATGAACCCTAAACCCTATTAGACCCTAGAAATCCTCTAAGCCCTATTAAACCCTATTATGCCGTATAAACCCTGTAAACCCTATGAACCCTATCAGCCCTCTCGACCCTATATGTAAGCCCGAAACCCTATAAAACCCTAAACCCACTGGAAAGCTCAACCATCGCCCATAGAGCTCCTAGGCAAAACTCGCCTGGAAACCCTACTAGGAGGATCATGGGACTTAGTATGGTTACCAGCACCTTAATTGGGGTTATAGCCAGCTATATGTATAGTTTCCCTAATAACAACTTTAGCTACTAAGTTCCATGATCCTTTAAGCACGGCCCCAAAGCCAAGAATGGAATCTACTCACGTCAAGCCGGCCGTGAGCCTTCTCGGGACGATCGAAGATGCACTCCAGAGGTCCATGCTCGACCTGGCTCTGAGCGTGTACGTACTACGGTGGATGATCTAATTCCTGCATTACCTCAATGAATGACGCTGGCCTTTGGAATTATGGTATTCCTTATTGGAGTCCAATTTGGGATGTTATGCGTTCAGAGATTCTGCCATAGAGCCAAGTCTTCCCCGAACCGACGTATGAACTCAGGGCCGATGGAAGTCCAAGCATCATGCAAGATGAGGCCGACTTGAGCCTCCACATGACAATTCTGCAATCAAAGGGGAAAAGGAGGGACCCTTAATGGGGACCCCTCCCCTATACCGGGCTATATAATGGGTATATACTGGCTATATTATGGGTATATACCTCGGGGTCCTTATTAGGGGTCCCTCCTTTTACCCTTTGATGCAAATCTTGCAGCATGCGTGTTCATAACCACCAGGGGGAGCCCAAAGGCTCCATGCACCCATATAGTAGGTACTTAGGCCTTAAAGTACCTGTACAGGGATCCCTTTAAGGCCTAAGTACCTACTATATGGGCACATGGAGTCTTAGGGGAAGGCCCAAATCCAAACGCAGAAGCCTAAACCTGGCACCAAAGTTCCAACTTCAAAGCTTGGCCATCAGGCCCCCAAACCTTAAACCCTAAACCCTAAACCTTAAGCCCTAAACCTCAAACCCTAAACCCTTATAGCCCTAAACCTTAAACCCTAATTCTTAAACCGGAAACCCTTAAGCCTTCAAACCCTAGATCCTAAACTTAAACGCCTGGCCCTAAACCCCCAGGGACCGTCCGCTCCCGCCTGAATGCCCAAAACTTCAAAAGCCAACGCTGTTTTAGGGAGCCTTGCCCAAAGGCCCCATGTACCAATATAGCAGGTACTTAGCCCTTAAAGGGGCCCCTGTATAGGTACTTTAAGGCCTATAAGTATCTACTATATGGGTACATGGAGCCTTATACCCTAAACTCTATAGAACCCTTTAAAGGACCCCTTAAAGGAACCCTTAAAGGAACCCCTATTATGGGTACATGGAGTCTTAAGCTTGGTAGATCCTGAAGCGCAAAAACGAGCCTCAAAGGTTGTGGATACTGCTTAGAGTTTAGAATGGGGCTTGTGGTGTATATTCTGCAAGCAAACAAAGTAAGGAACACCAGGGCTTAACGTTGCTACTTATGCCGGCGTCGATTTTAAGCACTAACTATGGTAACTATAGAGTATGAGCCTATCGTAACTATAATGAAACTATAGTAACTATAGAGTATGAGCCTTAAACCCAGAACATCTCAAAGGACACGCAAAGGTCCAGGCCGATCCGAGCCGGAGGAGGAATTGCAGGTGTGCGCCTGAGGAGTTTCTTGGTTTGAAGGGTTTGGCTTCAAAGGCCCCTATACTAACAGAAACCCCCATAGCACCCCTTATGGTAATCCTTCGAGACCCCTTTAAAGGACCCCTTTAAGGAGCCCTATTCTTACAGGATCCTTAAGGGAGGGTGGTTCAAGGGGGGAGGGTATAAGGAATCCTTAGGGGACTGTAAGGGAACCTTAGGCCCCCCTCCCTTAAGGATACTACTTGGTTTGAAGGGTTTGGCTTCAAGGGTTCTACCCATAGGCCCCAAAGTAGTTCCTTTTTGGGGTTCATATATAGAATTCTATAAGGTAATCCCCAAAAGGAACTAGTATACTCTACCCATAGGCCCCAAAGTAGTTCCTTTTTGGGGTTCATATATAGAATTCTATAAGGTAATCCCCAAAAGGAACTACTATACTCTACCGAGAGGCTCCAAAGTAGTTCCTTTTTGGGATTACCTTATAGGATTCTGAATATGAGCCCCAAAAAGGAACTACTTTGGAGCCTTAGTGTAGCGCTTAGGGGCTTAGGGTTAAAGTGTTTAGGGCGGTCGCTTGGTTTGAATCTTTGATTTTAGGGATTTGGTGCCTAGGGGTTTAGGCCTTTGGCCTGCTTTAGGGCTCAGGAACAGGGTTTTGGGTTTAGGGACGGGGTTTAGTGTTTCGGGTTCAAATCAAGTCTCCAACTCCCCTGGCATTTTGAGTTCGGCTCCTTCCCGAGTTGATGAGCCGCTATGAAGGAAGAGCGTGGGAACCCCTAAAACCCTAAACCTTAAGCCCCTAAACCCTAAACCCCAACCCGGAACTGCAAGCGCGAATGCTCCGCCTCCCCTGGATCCATGGACCTACATGCGAAATTAAATGAACCCCAAACCTCTGAACCCCAAACCTAAACCCCTTACACCCCCCAAACCCTACACCCTAAAACCCTACCACCCTAATTCTGACCCCAAGCCACCCCCCAAACCCTAAACCCTAAAACCCTAAACCCCTGGGCCCCTGAACCCCCAAAACCCCAAACTTTAAAACCCTAAGCAGGTGACCTTGTGGGCCGGTAAGGTACAGCGAGCAGTGTCCCGGCTTCGTGCGCCGACGGGAGCCCAGGGGAAAGAGCCTCGGGAGGGGTTTAGGGCTGTGGGTTTAGGGGTTTAGGGGTGTAGGGTGTAGAGTTTAGGGTTTAGGGGTTTAGGGGTCAGGGGTTTAGGGGTCAGGGGTTTAGGGGTTGAGATTTAGGGATTTGGGGTTTAGGGTTAAGTTTAAAGGGTGGTGCTGGGTAGAGGAAACACATAAGATATGGCTTGCGTCATAACTACAATAAAGAGTTGAAACTACTAAGGATGGACAATGCATGAACTGTTTTTCCAAAAACGCGGGCCGAGCGAGCCCAACACCACGCTAACAAAGGATATGGGCCATAGCCAACGAAGGGCTTCTCTTTCCCTGATTAGACAGATACTTCTTACTTCCATGACCCGCGAGTACTTAGGGGCTGAGTATGTTAGCCAAAAAAAGTAAAACTTTTCAGTTTAATTATGGTAAGGTCATATGAACCCCAAAAGGTTAGAGGTTCCCCCCAAACCCTTATAGTACCCTTATAGATCCCTTAAAGGAGACTCTTTTACTACCCTAAACCCTGAAAGGCTACCTGCTCAGCTACTGACATGATCTTCCAGAGCTTAGTTGCTGAGTTCCTAAGCCCCCAAAAGTGTACACTTTCAGTTTTATAGTGGGTAATATTATCCGGAAAAGTGTAAAGTGTATCCACTCTCCAAGGGTAAAAGGAGAAACCCTTAATAAGGACCCCTAGGTATATACCCTTAGTATAGCTATCATATACCCATTACATGCCCATTATAGGGTAGGGGTCCCCATTAAGGGTCCCTCCTTTTCCCCTTTGACACTCAGCTATTAAGAAAGAAAGCCTATTCGCCTTTGCAGC